ATAATGCACAAAGCAAGTGATGCACAGTACAATTGCTCACCACCTGCCGACCGATGCCCAGCCAGTCCCCGAGCAGCGGCCCCCCCGGCCAGCTTTCCCCAGTTTATGTACTGAGCATGACGTCACATGGTATGGAATGTCCCTTTGGCCAGTTTGGCTGTGCCCCCTCCCAGCTTCTTGTGCACCTCCAGCCTTCTCAGTCAGTAGAGCATGGGAAGCTGAAAAGTCCTTGGCTAGTGTAAGCATTACCTAGCAACAACTAAAACATCGGTGCGTTATCAACTTTGTTCTCATCCTAAATCCAAAACACCATACCAGCTACTAGAAAGGAAATTAACTCTATCCCTGCCGAAACCAGGACAAAGATGCAAAGATTCACAGTGTAGTGACACATTTTCTTTATAAATGGAAAACACTGATTTACTTGAAATGCCATCATATTATGGGATAGAGCCAATAAATCCTTTGTCTATGCTCTTTAATTTTTTTATCTAACTATTAAGGGAACACAGCTATTTTATTTATGGTGTTTTTCCATCTATCTCTGAGTGATTCTTCTTTGATCATGTGATAATTGCAGGAAGCATCGCTTTTTGCCAAAATGAGAAACACGCTTGAGGTAGTCAATGGAAAACACCATGTTCCTCCATCCATATGACAGTCATATGGCAACTTCACAAAACAAACAAATGTTTAGCAGCAGGGCAATGGCTTCATCCCTGGGTTATATGCAGCTCATTGATCTGAAAAACTAAAACAACTTTTGAACTCTCTACTTCGTGGTTTCTTGGATGATCTTTGCTCGCAAACATGAAGTCAGGGAGACTAAAGTTCTTCAGGGGATGTCTGAAGGTGCTGGCATGTGGTAGGCAAAGTCTTCTGGAACTGTGATTTCCTCACAACTGGAAGCAGGGCTGTGTCAGCACACAGCTAGATCGAATTTTTTGGTTTATGTTTGTTTAAAACTGATGTTACCTCTTGCATTGATGTGACTTGTCACACCAAGGGTAAGACTGGCCAAACAACAGAAAGAATTAGACTAAAGAAGTATAGCGGTTTGCACGATTCAGTGTTACTGTAGGGGGACTGAGTTCAGGGTAGGCTTTATCACAGAGAGGCTGTTAAGGGAGAGGAGGTAACACCTTTTTCACCTGCTAGTTTGTGTGTCAGATATTTAAGATATTCAGGGAATAAAGAGTTTTGAGTCTATACTTGTAAGGAGATTGCAGCTGAGCAAAGACAGTATTTAGAAAAGGAAACAGCTCACTAGAATAAAGATAAAATATGAACAGATTCCAGAAAAGAAAACTGCTTAGCTTTTTGTATATAAGAAGGCATTCCTAGAACAGGACATATCCTTTATTTAACAACCCTCTTTCTCTTCTGGACTATAAAAACATTCCTTGTGTTCCAGATAATGTTCACAAATGTTATGCACCACTTGTGTTATTACTCACCTAGTGACCATCAGTTTTTCATGTCCTTTCCTTTGCATACATCTTTCTCTATCACATTTGTCACTGTTATTTACTTTTTATGATAATAGTATTCTGTATCACATAGACATTTACTGGTTTTCAAATAGAAAAAGCCTGACAACACAATGCCTATATATTTCTATCTTTGGAAAACAATCTTAACCTACTGTTTGCTCAGTATTGCCATCATAGGCTCATAGTATCACAATTTTTGCCCTGCTGAAGAGACAGAAAGTGGTCATGAAGTCTTACTTCATCCTTTAGGTTAGTATCCTCCAACCTTCATCCATTATTGATCTCTATATTCCACGGTGGTGGACTGAAAAAATTGACATGGAAACAATGTTTTTGCAACTGTGAATATTGCCTATGAATCTTTTAGAGCCTGTGGATTTCTTAATGTGCTCCTACCTGGTGTTGCATCTTGTCCAGAAGGGAAGAGGGGAGACTAATCTAGGTCCCTAATATGCAGCCCTTAAGAGTAAGGGTTGCTTGGTTTTCCTGTGAGAATAACACCTAGAAACTTTCACTGTGGTAGTTTAGAGGGGACATGTTCTGTTGTTTTACCAAGAGGTAGGGCAGACATGGGCAGCTGATGTGATGGTTACCTTACCTACACTCCTAGTGAGGAAAAATAGCGAGTGCCTTTTCTCCCGCAGGACTCTGTGCTAAGGTGTCTTGCGAGAAGTGAAGGCAAATATTGCCCTCTTGTTGCAATCATGTTATTGGAAATCTTCTCTGAAGTGTGCAGTAAGAGAAGAGGCTGCTTTATCTCCTCTGTGAAAGCTAATTGGTTTAACAAGCAGAGTGGCAAAATGTCCTCATTGAGAGGATGCTATTGATGCTCCTGTGCTATTATCTGCTGGCTGCCCACTAATTACTTGAATTCAGGAAATGAAACACACCCTTCAGTTATATCTCCAGTAACAAGTTCTTGATGCTCAAAAGGGACCTCTTGTGAAACTGTTCTCATTGCCAACAATAGAGGAATTGTTCTTTACAATAATGAAAGAATTGCTGTCCACTTCCGATTAGAAATAATTAATGGAACAGGCTGCTGTGCTGTGCAGAGTCACTTGGCTAACCTATTAGAGAAGAAACTTGGCAGAAAACTCTACAGAAGGGCCATACAAAGACATTGGATCTGATTCCTCTCTTAGTCTGCAGGATGCCTGAAGAGCAGTTTGTCATAATCTGCAGGACAGGCAAGGGGAAAAACTGACTGTACTGTGACTCCAGGGTGACACCATCACTTGGTGCATACTGGTAGAGTGTTAATCTCATATTTACTGCCACTCTTCATAGGAGAGCTGCTGAGTTTTGTGAGTTGTAGTTGCTGGTGCATTTGAAAGAATTTCCTCGCTCTGTGGAGAGCAGCAGAGGATCCAGGATAGTTACTGAGAATTGTATTTGCAGTAACAGATTGAAATTGTCTTATATTAATTAGTCTGGTCTATTCTAGAACTGTGAGACATTTGTGATTATTGATTTCAGTTCTTGCAGAGTTCAAAGACTTCTGAAGGGAAGGGGTTTAGGATATGAGTTTTACTGATTAGGCTTCCCGCTTAGCGGCCTGGGAGAAAGAAGAAGTTGCTGAGGAACTGTAAGCTTGTTTATGTACAAAAAAATCTGTCCTGCTTCTTCCTCTCAAGGTATGGAAAAAATGTGACAGGTGCAAGCAGATCTCTGTCAAAGCTCATTTCCCACATAGTCCTAGGTTGGCTAAAAACCACTGATTTAATACATTAGAATTAATCGTTGAATCATGTGAAAATATACAGTGCTACCTGAGCAAACATATCCTGCTTGGCCCTGCAAGATGAATCAACCAGATACAGTTCCCTGGAATAGATTGTCCATGTAGAGATAGGTTAACAGCTTGTCTGTATTTATACTCCAAAGCATGCCAAGGTAGAGAATAAAGAAATATTTTCCTGTCTTCTAGGGTGAATACTTCTCAGCTTTCAAGCAGGCTTCCCGTCGGGAGGATGACATTGCTATTGTGACCTGTGGGATGAGAGTCCTGTTCCAAGATGGAACTAGCCGAGTGGAGGAGATAAAACTAAGCTATGGAGGAATGGCTCCTACAACTGTCCTGGCGCTAAAAACTTGCCAGGAGCTCACCGGCAGGTAGGAATTTTTCTGTGATAGAAAGGCTGTCTAATGGAACGATGCTGATTTTTACAGGAGCAGTTCAAATACCCTAAATCCTCTCTGATAGTACACAGAAGGACAAAGGGGAAAGAAGTGTAGCTACGCTTATGCAGCAGTCTGCATATTGTGTGATGCCTTGCTTCCTCCAGTACTCCTTACCCTCAAAGATCCATGTCAGTGTGTCATTCAGAGAGCCATTTCCTTGCGAAATTCAGTCATCTGTTGAAGCAGGCAGAAGCTAGATGTCGGGCATGATGTACAAAACTGGTTTTCTTTCAAACTGGACTGAGAAATCTGCACTCTTATCATTTAATAGCTTTGCCACATCTTTAGAAAAGATGACATGAGCCCAAGATGAGAGCAAAGCTGACACATATGCTCTAGACAGAGATAGAACAGGTGGCTGTTGCTTGAGAGCTTGAGTGGCTGCCATGTCAGAAGAGTTAGTCTGCCCCAGTGAAATTTAGGGCTGAGCAAGGGCTCTGTGTCACCTTTGTTCCCTTGCAGAGACTGGAATGAGAAGCTGCTGCAGGATGCCTGCCGCTTACTGGCGGGTGAGATGGATCTGTCTCCTTCTGCGCCTGGTGGGATGGTGGATTTCCGACGCACGCTTACACTCAGCTTCTTCTTCAAGTTCTACCTGACGGTCCTTCAGAAACTGAGCAAGAACCACAATGGCACTGTGAGTGCTGCTAGGGAAGGCAGATTTGGGGAAGGAGGACCTGTATGTGCTGTCTTGGTGGGGAAGGCATTCAAGCAGAGTTGTTCCTGATAACAAACTCCATGTTGCAATAGCTGCCAGAGCTACTCTACTCCTTACCTGCATGACAGTGACTAGTGTATCTTCCCACTTGCTTCCTTGTGGCATCCCCACCTTGCTGTGGAAGGGTGCTGATCTGTGGGTTCACAGGAGGATTCCTGGACTTCTCCCCTTTGTTGCATTACAACTGCTCTCATGGGTCTGTGGCTATTCTTTGCACAGAGCCTGAGCACAGTTTGCCTTTCACCCAGTAAAATATGAATTATCTTCACTGGAGGATGGAGAATGGAGAATATCCTGGGCTACTGGGGAATGTGAGAAAGGGACTGGCAGGGAAGATGATTGTTCTTTAATATGTCTCTGGCAGAACAATCTGTGTGAGCCCGTCCCTTCGAACTACATCAGTGCTACAGAGCTGTTTCACAAAGATCCCATTGCAAATGCCCAGCTCTTCCAAGTAAGTAGCAGTACCTGCATGACATAGACCCGGGCTTTTCTGTAGCTCAAACTGTGCTTCTTATCTTGTTGTCTCCCTGAGTATGAGCAATACATGAACTTATATAATGCCATTCCTGAGGCTTGTATTTGGGTCTCAGTCCCTTCCTTGCTTTAGGATACAATGTTCTTTCCTGTCATTGCCTAAGACTGTTCCTGACGTGTACAGCTTCATAAAAATTGCTGTGTGTAGCACTTCCCTCCTGCAGCCAGCTCCATATCCAAACTGAAATTGCCCTTCTGCTTTCCCCAGTTACAGCCTGCCTTTCTTTGCATCTCTCGGGCTTCAGATTCAGGATATATCTTCTTCCATATTTCTCTGTTAATGACCTGTTCTCTTCAGCTTTGAGAGTAGAAGCTAGCTTCAGAACTTGAACCTTTTATGCAAGCTGTCACATCAAATCCTTCTCTTCCATAGCAGTTTCAAAAACCAAATCCCTTTCACTTCATTCTCTACAGCCTCCTCTGTGTAGCCACTCCATCTTGTTTACCTTTCTTTCCCACAGGACTGAGCCTCCATCCCATTCCCCATCTCACTAGAATGTCTCATGGTGCCTTTTGCTCTCCTATCAATGCTTGTCCCCTGCAATATGAGCAGTAGTAATCAATTATGTGTTTTACTGCAGGAAGTGCCCAGGGGGCAGGCAGTTGAAGATATGGTGGGCCGGCCTTTGATGCATGTTTCAGCAGCCAAACAAGCATGTGGAGAAGCTGTTTACTGCGATGACATCCCTCACTATGACAATGAGCTGTATCTAACACTGGTGACCAGCACCAAAGCCCATGCTAAGATCCTGTAAGTGTTGCTTCTGAGTTTCAGATGTTGGAAGCATCCAGTGCCTGGTGGCTTAGAAAACATTGACCTGTCAAGCTGCGGGTGAGGGATAGATTTTTGCATTAGTGGGAACTCCAATTCATTGCACATTGTTACATGGAGGTGAGCTGTATGTGTTACAGCTGCCTTGCAAGTCTGCGTAAGTGGGAATATGAGGGAATTAACACCAAACTCAGAGCTTTGCTGAAGCACAAAGCCCTCAGCCCTAGGCAACCTTCTTGCATGTCCCATCTCTTATACTCAAGCATGCAGGATTAAAAAGGAGCAGGGTAGGAGAGCACCACAATGTCTGAGATGTCGTTTTAATCACTAACCAGAGCATGCAGCTTGAACATGCTCTTTCCTATCTGCCTAAAAATCTAGGTTGTAACATGCAGTTCTGCCACAGCACTCCTGCTGGTGAGTCAGCTATGTGAGTACTGTCTTCTGGTTTTTGCCTTGCACGGTGCTTGCTTGCACTGGCTACGGTCAAGCCCTCTGCATAACAGTCCTGTGTGAGTTAGCTTCAGCTATTAGATGTAGACCTGTTTGTGCTCGGCTGTAGCAAGGTGGATAGGTCAGTATTTGGAAGTGCAGCTGTCTCTGAAAACATCTTGTCTGTGCAGGGCACGACTGATGTGTAATTTATAATAGTGACTAACCAACTCTAAAACGCCTATCCTGGCAGGTAATGCCATCTTACATTCTTATGTGAGTTTTAATGCTGTTATATTGCGGGACTGACTGCCCCCACAATCCCTAATTGTGCTTACGTTGTGGTGGCTCTGCAGGCTCTCATCTGCCCTCAACTGCTTTTACGTGGGACACTCTGTGTTACATTGCCTTGTGTCATCCTCAACAGCCTTGCGATGTGCTGTTCATTCCTTAGGCAATGCTTCCTGCCTATTTAGGCTTCCTGTCCAGAGGTTTCCCACAGTGGTCTAGCACAGGACGGGCAGTACGGTGTCATAGATGCACAGATGTGTAGTAGTCGACTCCTAGGTTATGAAAGAAATTGCTCTGCCATCATAGTTAAATCTTCGGTGTTCCAACGCAGTCATTGATGAGTGCTGCAAATGCATAAGTATTGTTACTACTACCTGTGCAGATGGGGCAATAGAGAAAGCATCAGATATATGCCTGTGACCACAATACGCGGTATTTTCTAGAGGCTGCTGTACACATTCTCTTGCATTTGCTTTGTGTACTCACATTTCAAGCTGTGAGCCTGTATTGTTCTGTAGAGGAAGTAGTAGAATATTTCATCAGGTGACAGAAGTATCTCAGCCTATGATTTTTGTCGGTCAAAATATTGGCCCTGAAAACTTCCACTTCACCCGTGTCAGATCTTGACCACCACGTGTAAATTGGAAATCATCTGCCTCTGTATTTCTAACTAAGGGAAACTGTCAGGGGATTGTTTCTGAGGCATTACTGCAGAAGCATGGGAAACTGAACTTTCCGAAGAAAAATAGCATTGTCTTCAGTTCCTGCTGTCTAAGAGTTCATGTGGGAAAGTTCATTCATACATTAAATGTCTTTTTTAAAAAGTCTGTAGCTCACTGGGATGCATAAACAGCTACATTCAGGCACAGTTTGTATCAGAGTTTCAGGAATCTAAACAAGCATCCTGAAAAAATTGCAGCCATTTACAGAAGACAATAAATCATTCCGTTAGTAGAAACAAAGCCACAGCTTTTCTATTCGCAACAGTTCTCTTGTAAAGCAAGCCAATTACATAGCCAATGTACAAAATATTGCAAAAGGAGCTTGAAAGACTTTTGTAATACATTTTTTATGAAGTGCTCCATATAAAAATTAAATTATATTGCACTTTTCTAGTTACTTTCTGTTCTGCTTGTCACTTAGTTTTAAATCTGTATATGATTCAAGCAGACAAACATTTTGGTTAGATAGGCTTTCTTTGGTAATCAGCAAAAGAGGTTTCATGAAGCTTTTTGTCTTTTGGAGCGTCATTTCTTTTGCATCCTTTTGAATACCCTGCAGCTTCCTTGTGATTGATACTCAACAACCCCTCCCTGACTCACAGCCACATTTTTCTCTAGAGGTGAAGCCACGGTAGATGATGTGTGTCTGCAGTAAAATTTCATGTTTATCAATAGACAGGGAGGAATCTTGCCTTCACAGAATCATGGCAGCTAAGGAGAGAGTGGAGGCATATCATCGCTAACACCAATCTGTCCTTGGTAAAGGGTGTCAAGGGATCTTTAGTACACATGACAATTGGATCAAGTTCAGATATGTCTTAGGGAAAAGATGTATGATACAGTATAGTCCAAAGAAGCAGACTGGTGATCACTCACAGTCAGGATTCAGATTATCATATAGATCCCAAATGATTTTAGTCTAATATGTTGCCCTTTCTGCCTTGGTCTCACATGATATTCCTGTGACAAACTCCTCCTTTTTTGCATAGCCAGACTTCAGGGAATCAGGCCTGAAAATGTATTGGTGTCTCATAAGCTCTGACAAAAAGAAAAGTGAGAAATAATAATGCTGCCTCTCCTCCTTTCTTTTTTTAGTTCTGTAGATGCCTCTGAAGCCCAGAGTGTTCCTGGGTTTGTGTGTTTTGTCTCCGCCAAGGATGTTCCTGGCAGTAACATCACTGGCATCGCTAATGATGAGACCGTCTTTGCTGAGGATGTGGTATGTGGTTAAAAATAGCCTTTTTCAATCACACTGCTCAGGAGATAAGATTTTCCATATTGTCCAGTGAAGTCCTCTATCTTCTACAGAGATAAATTCTAACTGCACCGGAGTCAATAGAAATCTTGGTGCCAAACTCGATAAGGCCTGAGTTCCTTTGCCCCATGCCGCTCTCCTCTGTGTTATCTGCACTATTCTCCTCTAAGCTTCAGGCCACTGGGACAGGCTCACTCACTCGGTTACTGTCCAAAGTAGTTTGTGATCATTTTCCCTTGACTGATTTTAAATAGACTGGTCTGAACAAACAGATGAAAAACTGCACAAAAGGAATAGATGAAGAGAATTATCATGAGCCTCTCAGTTACTGCGTATGTACACACCAAATGATGGTGGGTCCTAATCTCGCCTGTAGGTCACTTGTGTTGGTCATATCATCGGTGCAGTTCTTGCAGACACACAAGAACATTCCAGAAGAGCGGCTAAAGCTGTGAAGATTAAGTACGAAGAGCTCAAACCTATTGTCACAATTCAGGTGAGATGGCTCAGATCTGCTTCTGCAGTTGGCTTGGGACCCCCTGATGTCTAATTAACTTCTGTTTTCACACATGTGGTTATTTAGCCACACATTTCGTTAGTCTTTGTGGGTGCAGCAGGATATGGATAGAAGGAATAATTTGTGTATTTAAATATAAAGAGGACACACCTTTGATGTGGTACGGATTGGGAGTACATTAACTTGTTCCGTGTTATTTAAAGCTAAAACAAATAAACCAAACTCTGGTAGATATATTGTGCTCAGCACAAATTTGTTTAACAAGGTTACTGTCAGTTACAGTCTTACCCACAGGTGCTTGATTTCAATATTCTCTGGTATGACGCTTCACTGGTATTCATTCATTCTTCATTCTCTGATTTATACCACTCAATAATAGGGTGTGAAAACGTCTCTTCTAGCTCTGTCACTGCACTGTTGCTCTGAGATTTCTGCAGACTGCTTCTCTAGTTTCTAAGCTGATGAAATTAATTTTCAGGAGTTCACTCTCCACTGTGAACATTTCCACTGACTGTATGGACACAGCCCTTAAGTGGCTTTTCTCAAAGCTGAAGGAATTAATGTCAACAATTTGTGATCATTTAATGTTGTTTTTTAACTAGAAGGCTTGTTGACAAGATTTCCTTATGTGACAGTAAAAGCAAATGATAATATCTAATACAGCATTCACATCTAGAAATTAGAAAAAAATGTATGAAGCCATTCTTTTGGGGGGAGAAATTAGAACCATGGGATTCTAATTTTTTTTAAGTCAGTATTTTATACCATGTGTTTTGTAATGTGAATTGTATTCATGGAAATACTGAGAGTCTGCATTGTCTAGTACAGACATTGGTACTGTCATCTGTGGACAGAGGTTTTGGTTTGTTTGTATGATTTGTGGGTTCACAAACAACGTGTGAGAACTTTTTCCTTTTTCTGAGGCTTCTAGTTGTTTATTCAGCCAGGGAAGATGAGAGTGGAGCCAAAAATGTGCTGATTTTTTTTTGTTGTTGTTTAGTCATTCTGTGTTTGGTTTTTTTTTTTTCATTATGGAAAGCTTCTGTTTTGGCAAAAGTGAAATGCGTTTGTAAAACTTCCCCAAGAAAGATTATTGTATGTTAGCTCAGAAGTGAACTATTTCTGCAGAAGTTCTCATCCTGTCTGAGAGATTTAGTTTTGTCCTTCTGCCTCTTTTCCTCTTTTTTTTTTTCCTTTTCCTTTTTCCCCTCTTCTGGGCCACAGACTATAGTTAACATAAGTTGTAAGTCATAGCTCTGGTGGCTACAGACCTTGAGGTTCTGAGTCCGTAATGTAAAATGAGTCACAAGGAGCAATCTAAGATTGGCCAGTTATGGGGATTATTGTAAAATTGTTGTTGCCAAAAATTTTGTACTGCTTTAAGTCAAGTCACTTGGCTATTACCATAGTTAGTATCTGATAAGTTCTTGTCCTTTTTATCTTGGATATTTCTCCTTCAGTTAGAGGAAGCGTTGTTTTCACTCTGCTTCCACAAAAATTTCATTGTGTCATCATGTTTCCTAGGAAGCTATTGAGAAACAATCCTTTCTTAAGTCTATAAAGAGGATTAATAAGGGAGACGTGAAGAAAGGATTTGAAGAATCTGATCATGTTTTGGAAGGTGAGAATAAGCATTAATACTTCTTCTAAAATAGGATAGTTTGTGACAAAGGAAGTCAAGCTATCAGCCTCCTTTTTATGCATATGATACTGAACTCATGAAAGTAAGGCTTGTGGGGCTAAATTAATTTCATATTAAGTTTCAGCTAACTGTTTATATACAAATAGCTTGTGAAAGATTTAATTTCAGTTTCAAACAGACTTAGATGCTTCCAGCTGTGCCCCTGTAAACACTCTCTTCCAATGTAAGGACATATTTTTCTTAAGCAAATATTCTACAAAGTGATTTTTTTTTTTCCTGAAATATGTTCATATAGGAGTTTCCCTGTCCAGACATAGTCTGGTCTGAATCTTATAGACAGTCATTCCTTTAACCTTGTATACGACTGTATCTTATGAAAATGGGACATACATGCATCTGAAAACCTGATCCACCAACATTGGTGGCTGTAGGTATCGTGAAGAACATGGCGCTGCCCTGTAACACTTTCTCAACATTGATTGTTGGTCTGTCTTTGAGGATGGGGTTTTTTTTTTCTGCTTCTTGGTTTCATTCAGTTGGAGTCTGCCAAGCAGGTTGTAGAGACATGGGTAAACACAGCAATTACCAACAACTGTTTAAAACCTCTATGAGTTAGGAGGGGAGAGTGCCAGAGCTGTGAACTGGAATACTCTGTCAGACCCATGTCATTGCCTGGTGTATGTATCACCGATCAATAGCGCCTGAGAGGAAGAGTCTCAAACATCAGACCTTTGGAGAGCTATGTATTTGTCAATAAGAGGGTGTTGTATCCCTCTTGCAGATCTGAGAGGAAGTTAAATCAGTTACAGACACAGTCTAGTGTGAAGGGATTATTCTTGAAGATCAGAGAAGATGCCCCCCTTACCTCCCTGGGGGGGAAGGGGAGAGTTACTTAACTGAAACACCCATTTCCAGGTCTGTCATTTGTTGTATTTTGGTATGCATTGCTGAGACTTTCCTCTGCAGTCAGCGATCGGCGCTGGTGCTTCAAAGGTGTCATAAGCTGTTGTTAACTTTCTTATGCTGTGCTATACTATAAAAAATGAAAACACTGTGCCAGGCAAGGCAGAAATTGTTCTGAGCTAGAAGAATAGGTTATTTAAAAGACTGCAATACTGTGTGAATGCCAGGCCAACCCCCTTGAGAAGACAAGAGAAAGGCCCCTGCTATGTACCAGAGTAGGCGTTGTCTCATGCAAATGTGCATTTCTCACTGATGTACCGAATGAAGGCAGCTATTTTGTTATTGCTGAATGGAATAAAAGAAAGAGAAGAACAGGATTTTGAGAACTGCTCTGAATATTAATTTTCATGGCAGCTGAACAGACCAGGGCCATGACTGAGAAAGGAGGTTGATTCTGGCATTTAATAGTGTGTAGCGTGACTGGAAATTGTACCCTCAGCACTGCCAGGTAAGATGTCCTGGGAAAGAGTCACATGCAGTGACAGAGTTGATTCCCAGTTAGATCTTCTTAAGGCATTTTGGGTTTCTATTTTTGTTCCCCTGTTTCAAAGTCTGTAACCTTGTATTTGATCTGCTCAGCTAGACTATACTTGATTTATTTTTATCCTTCATCTCAGTGGTGTTATCAGGGCAACACTGCATCTTAAGGGATGCTGGGTCAATGGCATGGTGTGCAGGCTTATTTTTGAAATGCCAGCCACTTGTGTTTTGAACTGAAGATTTCTAGAAAGTGGAGGGGGGGGCTTGTCTGGTTTTTTGTTTTGGGTTGTTTTTTTTTAAAAATGTCGAACCAGAAGTGTCAATTTTAGAGCTAGGGTTATCCAGTGCTGGGTAGTGCAAAGGGTTGTCATTTAACACATGTGAAAAGGGCAGTAGCTTGCAGGCAGCACATGGTGGGAGATACCTTATAACACCAGGGATACCCTATCTTTGGGGCATTTCTTTCAATTTTCTAGGAGAGATGTACCTTGGTGGGCAGGAGCATTTCTATCTGGAAACTCACTGTACTGTGGCTGTGCCAAAGGGGGAAGATGGTGAGATAGAACTCTTTGTGTCGACCCAAAACCTAATGAAGACACAGGTACTGTCTTATTGACCTGCTACCTAAAAGGCATTTGTTTCTCAGTTTCAGACTAGATAAACAGTTGTCTTACAGTTGGTCCTATCTTGTCTTGAATAAAAAAACCACATAGGCTGAGAGTTGGGTATGGGACCTAAAGTCCGTATCCATCCTACTGGTGTCCCGAATCCACTTCCAGGTGACAGAGATGTTTCTGTTGGCAGCACATCTTTGTCACCAGGGATTACATGCTTAGAATCATAGAATAGTTTGGGTTGGAAGGGACCTCTAAAGGTCATCTAGTCCAACCCCCCTGCCGTGGGCAGGGGCATCTTCAACTAGATCAGGTTGCTCAGAGCCCCGTCCAACCTGACCTTGAATGTTTCCAGGGATGGGGCATCCACCACCTCTCTGGGCAACCTGTGCCAGTGCTTCACCACCCTCAGCGTCAAAAATTTCTTCCTTATATCTAGTCTAAATCTACCCTCCTTTAGTTTAAAGCCATTACCCCTTGTAACCCTTTCTGGAGAGGGTGCCAGCTGTAGCATGGCTGTTGAATGACATGTCAGACAGAGAGGTGGTGTAAACACTGACCATATATACCAACTCTGCCATCTTGTGAGATAGGCAGCTGGCACTATGGGGTGTCTTTGGCCTGTTTACTGACTCACCAAGATTGTCCAAAGGTCTCATAATAGTAAGGAGAATGGACAGAGTGGTATGGATGTCAAACCCTGTGCTAAATGAGACCTATGTCTTGGTAACCTCATTTCATGTCAGTCTCTTCCTGAATCTGGTGCTGTCTGCTGAAGCACTGTGTGCCTTCCCACCTCAGAGAGAAAATACTGGGCTTATTGGTCCTAATTGCATCAAATCCAATTGCAGGACCAATAGGACCTGCAATGTAACAGAGTATTTGCACTGTTGCGATGGTTGCAGAAAGGCAATGTGTTGGTATATAGTTCTTAACACCAGCTCAGCTCTGTACATGTTCTGCTGTTCTGTTTTTCTTTAGGAGTTTGTTGCTAATGCATTGGGAGTCCCTTCAAATCGGGTTGTGGTTCGATTGAAAAGAATGGGAGGAGGATTTGGAGGAAAAGAGACTAGGAATACTATTTTGACAACTGCAGTGGCTGTCGCAGCCTTCAAGTAAGTTTGGGTGTGGGGAACAGGGCTTTTTCCTTTCAGACTGTCCCAGCCTGCCTCCTTCTGGAGCACCATTTGCACTGGAGCACTTTCAAGACTCTTCATGTCTTGTTACTGTACAGCTTATAGCAAGCCTGGGATTTCCCAAAGGAGTTGTCTAATAGGCTCTTAGCTGGTAGGAGGAATTGAACTTGCTCAGAGGGGCTAAGCTTATGCGGGAACGTCAGCTTTTAATAGGAAGGGGGGAAAAACCCCTTTGCTGTTCCTTTGGTGCTCTCTGAAAGCTCTTGTATCTCAAATTATCTGCCTCTCCCCTTCAATTCACCCCAAACCCTTTCAACATCCAGCACTAGCCATGCTTGTTGTTTTGTGTAATAGAGGTATGAGAGTCTCTTCCTTGCTCAAAACTCTACACCAGCCTTGCACCACTGTTTCTCTGCTCTTCTGCAAACTCTCTCTTTGGATTTTTCCCTAGGAAGGGTGGCAGGCCACTGAACAGAAACCCACACTTTTCAAACTCCTAAAAGCTCAGGGAATGAACCTAGACTGTAACCGTTTGTGAAGTGTACATTGGAAATGTGCTTCTTGTTTCTGGAGTTTTGACATGGGCTCATCTTTAACTGTGCGAGTTTCTGTGGTTGTGAGTGAACGTGGCCTCTGAGATGACATTTGTGCACTGCATGTAACACTGCCCTTCCCAATATTGCCCTTGTAAGTGAGGATGCACCCTGCTGGCAATGCTAGATGGATCTTGCAATACAGCAGCAATTTGATAAAATACCTTTGGAAGAGAACAGCCAAAATGAAGCTCCTGTACTTAAATCAGCTTTATTTTTCTGGTTCCGAGCAAACCACCTGCTTTCTCTAATTAATCAGTAATACATGTGCATTTTTTCTTTCCTTTATCTCTGCCAGCCAAACCACTGTTTTATATCCCAAAGGTTATGAAATAGCATGTATGGCATTCCCTAGATATTTTTACAACCTGAAGAGAGGCACTGGGAAGGCAGAATTGTTACAAAATGAAGAGCAAATCCTCCTCTTGTCCTTGTTTTCCTCCTTGGATAATAAATAAGCAAATAAAAAACAAGGTCAAATTGAAGGCTAGTTAGTACTTTACTTAGCATTATTATATAATTCATACGGCATTCTCTCTTGCAAAGCCAAGAGAGTGCCTTGAGAAATAGTCTGGAAAACAGTGATTGCTCAGTTATTAGCATCTGTCTCTAAGAAACTATCCCTTTTAATATAAGAGTCTCCACAAGAGTTTTCACAAACAGGTCCCAACTTCTAAGATCTTAATTTTTTTTTTTACTCAGTCTTGCCATTTTCTTAAGAGGAAGATGTATAAACCAAGCAGTTTACCCCCTAACTCCCCATTGCCACTCTGGAGAGACAATGCTCACCAAAAAGAGGAGAGTCTTGCTCTGTAGGAACTGTATTGCGCATTTCAGGCTTTGCCTGATAAATGTATCCTTTAACAGAACTGGCCGCCCAGTAAGGTGCATGCTGGATCGAGATGAGGACATGCTGATAAGTGGTGGGAGACATCCCTTCCTGGGGAGGTACAAGGTATGCATACATATGAAATAAATGCACGTTGTCTCAGTGTTGTCACCTGAAATATCCGAGTAGTAAGATACTGTGAAAAAATCGCTGCTCTGGTTGTTTCACTACTGATCTCCTCTGCTGCAAACGGATCAGGTCAGCTGGGTTATAGTGTTTTTCCTGTTCAAGTCCTGCAGAAGTTCTTTTGGCTCAGATGGTTCCCTTGTGACCTCAGCGTAAATACTTCCCTCCTCCTTGCAACCAAGACTTTGCCCCTGTTGACAATCACGTTGCTCTTAGATGCTTCCCCATTTGTTTACAGTATTGTACTACTGTTTGTTTTGTTAACTTCCTTTCCTCTTCAATCCCCATCCAACTGCTTCTGCTTTTCAGAGCAAAAACCTGTTAAGGAAGGTGTGGCTGTGACAAGTGGCCAGCACTTATTTTAGAAGAGGTCTCTGGAGCAAGATTAAGACGCATACATAGACCCTTTACTGGGAAGCTTCCTCAGTTGCTGCCTGTGCTTGTCCTATGCTGCAGCAGAGGACAGTCAGCCTTTTGCCTGTATGAGGTCCATTCAGTTTTTGGAGGGAAGCACGAAACAGAACACTTTGTAGAAAACAGATTACTGAGGAGACTCTCTTGACAGGTTGGTTTCATGAAGAATGGGAAAGTCAAGAGTCTGGAGGTGTCATACTACAGCAATGGGGGCAACTCTGTAGACCTCTCTTACGGTGTAAGTAAAATTTTCCAATGGCTAACTAGGCAGAAGACACTTCCCTGTGCAACCTTTCGCTCTGACTTCAGAGAGTTGTCTACAGCATTGTTTGCACATCCTGCTCTCTGACATGACTGAAAACAGACCTTGATGGGTTTTTGGAGCTCCTACAACTGCTTTCTGAGCCAACTGACCTGCCTTGGCATGTGCTACACAATTCTTATTGATGCTGTAATAACTTGGATTAGGTAAAAGGGTCAAGAAAGTTTGCTTTGCATTAGAGGGCTGTGATGGGAAACTTGTTGCACAATGCAAGGTGACTGATAGTTCCCCAGCTTTGGGGAAAGCTAGTTCCTTGGAATAAGAAACATCCAAGTCAATAGGCTGATCAGGGCAGAGTGCCTAAATCAACAAGCTTGTTAAGGACTGGCTAAAGCTAACGTTCGGTTCATAAGCACTAAGGACAAGAATGGGCCTGACTTCTGAGTTTGTTTCCAAGAATTTTTATTCTGATGAGTAAAAAAATCTCTCCTTTTCTGTCTGTGCTGCTGCTGGAAGGGAAATCTGGGAACACAAGCCAGAAAGAAGCCCTGGCCCTTTCCCGATTTGGACAATTAATGGACAAAGATCTCAAATCTTGCAGTTTAGATGTAGCTATTGAAAAATCCTTATTTCATATAGTTGTCCTTACTGCCACAGCCCAGCTGCTGAGTCACTTGATGTCAGCAAGACTTCTTTTCCAGTAACAGATTACTCAGTATAATTAAAAGAAGGTTCTGGTTCTTCCAGGTGGGTAATGGCGTTTAGTAGCAGTTTGGCTCAGCATGAGCCCAGGGCCAGCAAAGGACTTTGAAGCTCAATCTGTCCTAGGGTCCTAAGTGTCAACAGAGAAGTGTGCTTATTGTCCTGTCCTTCTGGAGGATACCGCTTGATACTCCATTGCAAATGTGAGGGAGTACTGGCTGTGCCTCAGCGTTCATCCAGCTGTATTGACTGCAGGGTGCAAGAGAAAGTGCTGGTTATTATTGTACATTAGTTTCAGAGCTTTCCAGTCTGGCTTTGGCAGCTAGTAAGAAGTCTTGACATGTGATTCATGTAAAATGTGAATGTAAAATCCACCCCTTCTCTTCACCAGGTTATAGACAGAGCCCTGTTACATTTGGATAACTCCTACAACATTCCCAATGTCAGCAGCGTGGGCATTGTTTGCAAGACCAACTTGCCTTCCAACACAGCCTTCCGTGGCTTTGGAGGGCCCCAAGGAATGATGATTGCTGAGTGCTGGATGAGTGACCTTGCTCGGAAGTGTGGCCTGCCACCTGAGGAGGTACAGATCCACTGACACATTTCAGGGCGGTGCTGCCTTTGAACAAACTCTGAGAACTGGACACAACCACAGGAAATTATTAAGCATAAGAACTTTTGCTTTGTTTTTGCTAAGCCCTTAGCAGGATCTCAAACTTTCTGTATGACAGCCACATTATAGCATGGATTATCTTCTGCTTCATTAAATTCCCTCAGTAGCCTCAATTGTGTGACACCTACTTTAAGGATAGATATTAAAAAAAAAAAAAAAAAAGCCCAAAGGCATTAGGTACCTTAATCTTACTAACAATGTGCTTAAGTCCCAACCTCTCTTGAAAATTCCCAGCCTTAATGTCTCAGTCCCCATTTTCCCATGAACAGATATATGTCTGTTAATTCTATTGTTCTGTAGAGTGAGCAGAGGATTAAAACTAGGAACCAACGTGCTTTTGATGTCATCCGTTAAAAAGACCTAGTCTGAAGCATTAAACTTGGCGTGTCCTTTATATGTCTCTTTGGGAAGGTGCGGAGGCTCAATCTTTATAATGAAGGAGACCTGACTCATTTTAACCAAAAGCTGGAGGGATTTACTCTACGAAGATGCTGGGATGAATGTTTGTCAAGCTCTAGCTATCATGCCAGGAAGAAACTAATTGAAGAATTCAACAAGTAGGTATTCTAGAGCTGTCTTGTTACTGGGTGCACCTGTTGCCTACTAACTTCTGAAGTTCTCTTAGCAACTTGAGTGACGTGAAATCAGACCTTGTATTTGCAGAGTGATGTCTAAATTTCTTTTTTTGAAATCCCTTCATGCTTACTGTGGGAAGAAATCTCTATTAGTGAGCTGGTAGCTTAAATAAGGCAGGAATCAGACCTAGTATGACATGATTTTGTAAGGGAAATGTAGCAAAGGAGAGGGGGTCTGTTAAGTCCAGCTAGGCTTTTCAAATAGCTATCAAGGCAATTTGTTTAGGCTTTCCACTGCCTTATAGTCTTTTTAGTTGGCTTGTATATACAACTGAATAGTTAATAGTCCAGGCAATTGCTTCTATAATGCCCGGGGGAGCATCTTCAGTTCAGATTTCTTCTTGTTGGGACCCATAAACAAAGCAAATCTTTCATAAAAATTACTGATTAATTCAGTCTATATTGCATTCAGGTATTTCATTTCTGCTTTGATACCTACCCAAGCTGTTGGAGGGAAGTATAGTATTGAGTTGTGATGAAAGCCGCTTGAGTATACAAATAACCTTCTTTCCTTGCAGGCAGAATCGCTGGAAGAAGAGAGGGATGTGCATCATTCCTACCAAATTTGGCATCAGTTTCACTATCCCATTTCTGAACCAGGTCTGTAAGTGTCATTCATCTTTTCAGTAGAGAAGCTAGATTTATGCTGCCTCCCCCAGGCCCTCCTCCATTTGTACCAAACTGGAGCTTTTCAGAGAAGTAGTAGTAAATTAGTTAAGAAAGAGCATTTTTCAAACCAAAATGAGCAACACAATAGTTAGCAGTTTATACTGTCTAAAAGACACCACAATGCAGCTATGTTTCCGTGGTATTGTGTTATGTTAATTTCCCTGCCTATTCCCTCTTCCTCAATAGTTGAAACACTGTTCCTGTGTTTGACCCGACTTGAGGGACTGTCAGTGGTGTTAGCAAGTTCAGGTGAAGGGTGCATCTCTGTTTCACGGGGGCGGGTTTGGGTTACTTCACCTGCTTTCTGAGCTGAAAATACTGACTGAGGTTTGTTATGTCATTGGAACTTCTAGTGAGTTGGTGAGACTAAACCAAACTGATCTCAAGTGTAAACTAGTGGCTTTAATTACACCGAAGAACAACATTGGTCAAGTTCCAAATTAATTTTCTCTGTAGTTTGTAACTGAAATCTTCTAAGTACTTCACTAGTTCATTTATGGTGACTCTTGGATTAATGTTCCCTTTTATAGGCTGGAGCTCTGATCCATGTGTATACAGATGGCTCTGTATTACTTACACATGGGGGGACTGAGATGGGTCAAGGGCTTCACACCAAAATGATTCAGGTAATAATGAGTTTGGACTTAACCAAATGAGACATCTTTTCAGTAAAATTACTCTCACTCTATGGTATTGCCTCAGACAGCTTGACACTTCCTTTCTGTGCATGCGTAGGGTAACAAATCATGACTAATTCCTCTTAATTGTTTCAGCAGCAGTGCTAGATGTCCAGAGTATTATCACAATTGAGTATGAGAATTAGATTCTTCATCATCTTAACTCTTACTATGTAGATAATGCAGGTTATGCTTACAATCTAGCTTCTTTGGTAGTTCAATTTCATCCCATAAAACTACAGTTTACATGTATTTTATACAAAAATTAGTCGTATTGCAAACGTATTTATCTGCGTATGCTAACGCCTTTGTAGTTAAAAAGGCCTAAGGGAGCAACATGGCTTTGGCAGGGAAATGAAAGGGAAATCTAATAGGGCTCTTTATCCTCTGATTCCTATAATTGTTGAGAGAAGAATTTAGTCTCACAACAATGAAGTGAATATCTGTCATTGTGGCAAAAGTGTATGTGTATGTGCTCTCACACATTCAGTCTGTGAAGGGCAAACTTAACAATGTACCGGCTAGCTCTCAGTCACTGAATCAACTGAGCCTTCAAGAAAAATGAAATTTAGGACAGGAGAGGGTAGAGGTTGCAGTGTGGATCCTAGCAGTGTAAGCAATGAATGATAATGCTCAGGTATAAGAAGAGCTGCTTACTAATTGTTTATCTTTGCTCTGCAGGTTGCTAGCAGGTCACTGGGAATCCCCACCTCCAAAATTTACATCAGTGAGACCAGCACAAACACTGTCCCAAATACCTCCCCGACAGCCGCATCTGTCAGTGCGGACATCAATGGAATGGCTGTCCATGTACGGAAACTGAGTTATTTAAACTAGTGGGTTATAAGCCAGGACTCCAGAACATGAAAAGTTGATGTGTATTTATCTATTGCTTAAGGAAAACATAACCATCAAAAGGCAGTTCCAGGCTAAGGGTACCTCATAACTTCTTTACCTGCTATAACTACTGGTGGTGGTAGATGATGAATGACCGTATTTTTTTTTTCAAGTAGTTCGAAACTCTCCTTCTGTCCTTTTTTAGTTCTAAAATGGAGTGTTTGTGATTACTCAAAATGAACAGAACAAAACATCCATTTAAGTAGCTAGCTTCTTAGTATTTAATAATTAATGTGGCCTTATCTATAACAAATATATTGTGCTGCAGATATTAATAGCAGATGGTTTGTGAGGTGTGCTCCAGAACCAAAGACCTCTAAGTGTTGATACACTCAGAGCAAACATCCTTCTGTAGCAATGGCATGGTCATGACTGTCTCTGACATGGTGGAGTTAACCAATGCATATATTTGGAGAGTATGTGACTCTTCCATTGAAAAGAGGAATTTAGTACTGGTCATTCTCAGGTTTAAAGAAAGGGGGAATTGTAACCTGTAAAGTAAAATCATCAGGCTGTTTTTATTCTCTGCAGAGCTTGTCTGAGTAGGTTGAATTTTGGCAAGAATATTTTTTTCAGTGTTATAGGATCATCTTGCTAGATATGCTAAGATGTCCTGCTATGACTTCATACAGATAAAGTTACTGTATAAATGGGTGGACTTCTGATGTTTCATGTCATGGTCTGGAAAGTTCTGTGCTGTATTTGGGATTCCCTTCTGCTATCAGCACAGGCAATCTGCTTTAAAATCCTTTTCAGTCAACGTTTCTTCCTATGTAGCAAGACATCTGTTAGTGAACTTTGTTCCTTTTTGTGTAATGCCAAAGTCCTAAAGGCAATATTGATTTAAACAGAAGGTTCTTTGAAACTCTTATAGGGCTCTTAATACTATAAGCTGACTTTTCAAATCTTAAAATATTGCTTCTCTCTCTCTTTGTTTCTAGAATGCGTGTCAGACTATCATAAAAAGACTTGAGCCGATCAAGCAGTCTAATCCCAAAGGATCCTGGGAAGACTGGGTAAGCTGTTTGTATCCGTCGTGAGACAAGTGGGCATTGTCAGAGACTGTTTTAATTGGCAAACCCTGTATGCAGGTATACCCTCCAGGCCTTCCGCATCTCGCTAGCAAAGATTTGAGCAAAGACAGTGAAACAGAAACCTGGCAAGGGAAGTAACCAAAGCTTGCAAGAGGTCATCCCCAAAACGTCACTTATGACTTCAATACTGAGATTTCTCCAGATCCTGGGGCCTGCCTGTGACAAACTTGACCAAATAAGTCTTGAGCAGTTACATATATCTTTCTAGTCAGGCTACAGTCTTGGACAGGAAGAAACCTGATTTGTAGTGAAGGGATTCCGTGACAAAGATGACTCTGTTGAGCTGCCGTCCACCTCCTTGGCTGCAATATATCTGTACCCTCAATAATAAGAGATTGGTGTGCTGTCAGGCCATTTTCAGATCCAAGCTCTTCTCTTCATGGGAGGAGCTTTGACTTTTAGATTTGGAAGTCAGGATAGGATTTCCCCTGGCCTCACTGAAGTCAAGATGACTGTCAGTTTAACCTTTGTCTCTGAGGTTGAAAGTCTAACCTGTAGCTGAGAGCCGAACAAACAAGAGCAAGTCTTATCCCTCTGCCAATGGGCAAGTTCTGCCCTTGGTAGCTGATGACGGGGCTATTTGGGGAAGCAGCTGCATCATGTTTCCCTTGGCACTGCTGGTGCTGGATAGTGTAACAGCTGTCTGTTACTGGACACCTTCTATTCATGCTCTCCTGGAAATGTGGTTGGGGTAGCTATTTTGCAGGGACTGGTTGGACAATTACTATTTTCAAACTCTTGTTCACTTTGCCAGATTAAAGCTGCCTATGAGAACTGTGTTAGCCTGTCGGCCACGGGGTTTTATAGGTGAGTGAATATTCACACTGCAGAGGCACAGCTCTGACTCGATTGCATGGATTGCATCCAGGGAAATTCTGGGAGGATTTACAGCCCCTACCCCCCTGTCACTGTTCTAACTTAGGGCTGCATTCCCTTTCCTACCTGGAAATATTAAGCTGAGGTTAACACTCTCCTGACTGGGGAGAATCGGTTCCTGATGGAGCACAGCTCTTGGGGCCAAGTTCAGGTCTCATGTAAATCTGAAGTAGATCGAACTTCAGTCTAGCTGACCTAGGTCTGAGGAGGCGTAAATGAAATCAGTGCTTTGCCTGGGGCTCTGCTCTGTGTCAGTCTTGTGACTTAGCATTGCGCTAGAACCGTCATGCAGGGAAAAAGGGGGCAGGCGTTGTCCTTGAGGACAAAGCTACTTATGGCAATTGGCTGGAGCGGTATCCTGTCTGTTGTGGCATGAGCAGATACCAGTGTTTTCAATTTCATGCTCCCACTTTAAACTCCTGCTGGTTCCTCTGCAGTTCTGAAATGAGGCACTTTTCTTAGCTTTACTGCTGGAGGAAAACAGAGATCCATCATCTTTGGGGCAAGAGGGATTGACATAAACTAAACACAGTGTTGATAAGAGCCTGTTTAGGACTAAAATACAATATTAGCTCATTTCTGTTGCATCTCTGAAATGTTTTTTCTCTTAACCAAGTGACTGTCAGTATTTTAATAAACCAGTTTTCAGATAAAGTATAAGTAGCCAGATACAAAGTTTGCCATGAGCTGTGCTTAAAATCAGTTCTTAGCTTAATCCAATTTCTGGTTCAACTTGATTATGCTCTGAAACTTAATGACCTCCAACAAATGTTCAACTGTGCTCAAAAAGCAAATGATTTGCTACTGGAGTGGTGGGAATGAGTTCATAATAGTCATCACAAGCCCCAAGATTCATGGGAAAATAAAGATGGCTAAAATAGTTTGATAGTTTCAGTCAGGTTTTGGAATACAGAGCAGCTTTAGCAGATTTCTATTTATAGTTGTTTACACTTTTCATTTCTGCATGGGCTTGATGGAAGGGATGAAACCAAAGTGAATAAGGATTTTGATACGTTGCAATGTGTTTGTATTCATTTTGACTGTTCATGGAATGAAATGTGGTTTTGTTTTTCTTTGTATCAAGAATTCCTGACCTTGGCTACGACTTTGAAAAGAATGAAGGGAAACCATTCTGCTACTTCAGTTATGGTGTTGCTTGCTCTGAGGTTGAGATAGATTGCCTAACAGGTGACCACAAGGTGAGGCGGTCAGCAGTGAAATAGCCCTCTGTGTTTAGGTGAAGGAAACATTCACAGGGAGTTAGAACAAATACTGGGTGTCAGCCTGTTCCTAGCTCTGTCATTGGTCTGGTGTGACCTTCAGTAAATTTCTTAACTCCTCTGTTCCACAGTGCAACAATCCATAAAGTATAATAAAATGATAATTATCTACCCTGCGGGGATATTAGGAGGCTTAATGAATGATTGCAAAAGTTATGGGATTTGCTTAAGTAAGAGATAGCAGCACTGTGTTAGCACAAAAGAACAGAAACATACTGGAATTGAGTTAATCATTAAAAATAGCACTGAAGGCTTTTAGAAAGAAAGAAAAAAGAAAAAAAATTTCATCAGAATCTGACCTAGTTGGTTATGCTCAAGTACAGAGCACTGACGCTAGCAGCTTGGAACTAATATAAATTGGGTCCATTGGATCTCTGGGGAAAACTGCAGTGAGTTCCTTCAATTTACTTTAGGGATGAACTCAGATTAAAAGTCAGTATGAAGAGTTGAGCTGAGATAGATTGTTGAACGCTGGCCAAGTGTGGGTAGTGGTTGGATACATTACTCCTCCTCATACAAGACCATGGTGTACCAGTTTCAATGTTCTGTGCTGATTTATTCTTTATTTCTACCTTTTAGAACATTCGCACAGACATTGTTATGGATGTTGGTACCAGTCTGAACCCAGCCATAGATATAGGACAGGTAAGTGAAATAGTGTTGCTATTTCCACCATGTTAAAGGGATCACGCTACTCTCGGGCTTTTTTAGATAAGCCATTATCCCTCTCCAGGTTGTGCCTTTGCAAACAGGATTTTAAACTGGGGTATCCAGTGAGGCATTTTAGGCTAGGTATGAAAACCTGTTTGACCTACGCTTAACTATGCAATAGGCACAGAATTATGTAGGGAAATATCCTGTTGGGTTTTTTTGCCTTGGATATTAAGACTACAGGATATTCTCCAGTTACCACCACATTGATGCTTTTCAGCACCTGTCTTGCCTGAGGAATGAATCCAGATAATACTAGTATGATGGAATAACCTCATCCCAGGCTTAGTTTCTACAATGTGGCATGTGAGACTAAATCCCACACCTGATTTTTATACTCCTATCTGTCAATATCAAGTCCCATTTAATTCAGCAAAAATTGTTCTGTGAATAAAGAGTTAGGGCAGTAGATTCTGTCCTCCAGCTGCTGCTGTGTAGGAATCTCAATAGAAAGTTGGACTGACCGCTTAGTTTGCAAATTCCTTGGGCAGGGACAAGCTTAATTCCATGTTTTGTGCAGTAATAATCACAATGATACCTCTCAGCAAATAAAGGTAATAAACACAGGGTTGTTTGATGTACCAAGAGATGAATCGTTAGACATTTGCACATGCTCCCTTGCTTAACTCTAGGTGTTGATATAGTATAAATCCAGTGAAACTGCTGCAGGATTTGGAGTTTACAGGAGAGCACGAGTTGCAGAGCTCTTCTATAGATAAAATGAAATTTCTTTGAAAGTGACATTTTTTCTGAAAGAGACTTTTTTGGAAGTGGCCAAGGGGAGAAAGGAGCCTTTCTGTCTTCGCAGCCTGGCAGTTTGCGTCTGGGAGTAAAGAGATGGGCTATACGGAGCCTGTCAAAGAGATCTCAATTTCCTGTGTCCTTCCATGAATTGCTGCAGAGGATCTGGGAGCATAGGGGAGAAAGGATGTTGTATGACTGCAGGAACACAAGTACACAGGGCTGGGTTAATGAATGTTTGTGCCAAATCTTTAGACTGGTCTGCCTGTCAGATTTCTCAGTGGGCACAGAAAGTAGAGCTGCTTCATGTAGGGTTGTTCAAGCACATCCTCCTCTCATAGCTGCTCCCCTTTTTTTTAATTTATTTTTCTTCTCCTAAAATTTACAGTAGAAAAATTATGCAAAGAAGTCTTTAGTACTTGAATGGATATGGGAGTGTTTTTGCAGGTGTCTGTGCTGGTGACCGGAGAATATGCAGTACTTAGGAAAGCATTTATACTGAAACAGAAAGCGTAAAATAGTTTGTCTTCAGATATGTCGTCAGATATGTCGTCTTCAGTTCTTTTAGTTGTCCTTTGGATTACCAGCAAGTACAACTCATTCAGTGTTAATCTGCCTGTGAAGGAATCAATATTTTGGCATTGATTTTTTTTTTTCCTTGCTTCATCAGAAAATTCCTGTCCTGCGTTTACAGCATACCTGTTTGCGTGTATTTGTAAATTGCTTCACCTGCCAGGGAAATGCAGCCACATCTATATGGGAACACAGAAATTGTGCAAAGGTGCCAAGCAGAAGGGACAAGAGTTTTTAGTGGGAAATTAGTCAGGAGGGGAGGGCTGAAAACTCCGGTGGAAATCATCGTTGTTTGTTCTTGTGCAGGGAAGAACAACAACAAAAAAATGTAACCTTGTTTGGATGTGTTTGTAGATAGAAGGAGCATTTGTCCAAGGCCTTGGGCTCTTCACCATGGAGGAGCTGCGCTATTCTCCTGAAGGGAACTTGTACACTCGAGGGCCTGGGATGTACAAAATCCCAGCGTTCGGAGACATCCCAACAGAATTCTATGTGTCTCTTCTCCGTGACTGTCCAAACAGCAAGGCAGTTTATTCATCCAAGGTATACCTGCGAGATCTGCAGGCCTCTTACTGCTGTAGTTCTGTGAAGCCGAGTGTGATAAAATAATGATGCATGTGTCTAAATAGTTAACCTTGTTATGCTGGCTTTATTCTGGGGTCAGGATGTTTTCCCATTCCTTACCAGAAATATATATACTATCCTTTATAGTTAGGAAGAACTGAAAAACCTGCACATTGCTACCCTGATTTTCCATTAGAGAGAACTGAAGTGGCTTTGCTGTGCCAGTTCTGCTGTAACAGAGGCTGCCAGCCTCCCCCTGCATGTCAGCTCCCTGGTTGCCCTTCCCTGGCACCAGAGCCACCACTGCATATAACACTTCCAGCAGTGTCATTTCCCCAGATCTGATATACCAGGATCTTGTGTCTGTGTTTTTATGTTTTGCTTTCTTTACTGTTTCACAGTGCTCATGTCACCATTAAGGGTCCATTATTAATCCACGTGTCCTTCAACTGTTTTCACTGCAGGCAGTGTTGTTCCCTGCAGTTAGTGAGGGCTGCACAGAGCAGGGCTGAATGTACAGCATCAATGAATTTGCTTTACTTATGATTCAACAGAGCATTTAGAGAGGCCACCCAGCATCCTTATCTGTATATGCCTGGCCTGCCTCCTTACAGTTTCCCATTTCCCCTCCATCCACAGAAACATCTTCATCAATGAGGAGAACTTTTTGGGTGATTAGTGCTGATGACAGAATTAAGAAAAAAGGGGCTGGCAGGGACCTCAGTATTAGATAATACTCGTGTAATCCCTGAGGGAGGCATTCCTGCTGGTTTGCAAGGACCTCCAGTGATGGAGCATCATGCTCTCTGCCCAGACAATTCACCACTGCCTTATCTGAATTCCCTTTGCTGCAATTTTAGCACCATCCAAAAGGTTGTGGGAATATGTCAGTCCCTTTTCCTTCATAACAGCCTTGCTGTGTCAGAAAGCTTGTGTTTTCCTACTATCTCTTCTTTAAATGGACTGGGGGTTGTTTTAGCTCAGTCTTTCCTCACTGATCACACCTGGCAGACTGGAAGCTCTTTTAGCTTCGTGTTTCCTCAGTGATCACATGTGGTAGACTGAGGTTCACATCTGGAAGGCAAGGGGCTGTTTCGGTTTGGCCTTTCCTTCCTGATCACATCTGGGAGACTGAGATGTTACAAAGGAGGAGTGAGGAGTGCGAACAATTCCTGATTGTTGCATAGGGCTTGCTCATCTTTCTGTTAGCCTCATTAGTCTTTCCAGGGCCAGGACTGTTTTGGGCTGCAGCCTCACTCTTGCTTGTGCTCTGTCTAGGCTGTGGGAGAGCCACCTCTGTTCCTGTCTGCCTCAGTATTTTATGCAATTAAAGATGCCATCTACTCAGCGAGGAAGGACTCTGGCCTGACTGGACTGTTCAGGCTGGACAGCCCTGCCACCCCGGAGAGGATCCGCAATGCTTGTGTGGACATCTTCACCAAAATGGTAACAGCTTCTGGTTTCATAGTCTGCTCCCTAGCCAGCCTACCCCACATGGAATGTGTGTGCTGGTCACAGTGGCCCAGATCTGGGATTAGGGCAGGTTGAGGAGGCTGTGGCCCTGCTTAAGCAGATGATTTTTATTTCATGGGTGTTATCCTTCATTTAACATGCCACCAAATGAGAGACAAATCCACAGACCAGCACTGCTAGGGCTCCCGTTGCAGAAAGGTCTGCTATACGGTATCAATGAAGTTGCAGTTCCTCCAAGTGCTGTCTGTAGAATAAAGGCACTGACTTGTTGTCCCGATGCTCCTGACTATCATCACTTAGGGGATGACCACCACTAACATATTTTGCAGGTCCACTCTGTGATTTAGTGGTGTCCCTCAGGGAGGGAGGGAGAGGAAAGTGTTACTGAAAATGCTCACTTCTCCTGAATGTTATGACCACAGGAGTCATCTTAGAGGCTGTGGGCTTGATCTGAAGGAGTGCAGGAGTTAACCCTGTCACTGTCTTTTCATGGGCTCCTCCTCTGTTACAGTGTTGTGACAGGGCTGCGTAGGAGTGGGTCCCTGCACAGAGTCCTGCTGATTCCTGTGTGACTCAGAAAACACAGCTGTCTGTCCATGTGGGCATCCTCCAGGCTTTCGTCAGCCTGAACCCCACTGTGGTCAATAGCAAAACCTGGATATCTTAGTCCTTCTCACCTAACACCTGCATCGCTGTCTGGGGAGAAGGACTCGGAAGTGGTTTTGAGAATTTGCACAAATTGTTGACCATCAGGCGTTCAGCTAGAGCCAGGCACAGCCTCCAACTAAAGTGCCATGAGACAGACATCTCTGTTTTGAAAGACTGGGATGTGAACTCAGCTCTTCAACGGTACAAAGTCACCCACCTTAAAGGGAGCATGGTGGGGCATGCTGAACCCAGGCCGGGACCCTCATTTGTTGCTAACTTAATTTTTTTTTTTCTCTTTACAGTGCCCTTCTGCTGAGCCGGGGACCTTTAAGCCGTGGTCTGTGCGTGTGTAAAAGGGAAGTTTGAGGAGCAAACTCTCCTCATGAAACTGAGCTTACACCAGAGGTACCACAAGGAAGTAGGACTATAATGGAAAAAAAAAAAAATCTCTGTTCATGTGGCTCATCCACTGATTCATGGAGCTTTCACATTTAATTGTCCAATCATTGTTTTCTCTGAGAGGGAATTGCTGCAAGATTATAGCTGTGATGTAAATTCAAATGAAGAGTAAGTGGAAGATGATGTTATCCAGGTGTAATTGAAAAATCTTACAGGTTTCATTTAAAATTGCTGCAAGGGTGGGAGACATGCTTATTACCAGCCAATGTGAAAAATCTCTGTATGTGGCTCATCCACTGATTCATGGAGCTTTCACATTTAATTGTCCAATCATTGTTTTCTCTGAGAGGGAATTGCTGCAAGATTATAGCTGTGATGTAAATTCAAATGAAGAGTAAGTGGAAGATGATGTTATCCAGGTGTAATTGAAAAATCTTACAGGTTTCATTTAAAATTGCTGCAAGGGTGGGAGACATGCTTATTACCAGCCAATGTGAAATGGCAGGGTGGTTGTTTTTCTTCTACTATGGGGAAAAGATGGATCACCTTGTGATGCTATGCCAAGAAGGACTTAAATGCATTGAACCCAGACAAACAGTCCTCTAGCTGAGATGGGGGAAGGCATGAGAGGCACTGAGGGCTGGACCCTGTTGTGTCCCCTCTGCACACAAAGCCAAATATACACTAGAGGAAGATGAGGAGTTTTGATGTTAGCTAACAAAGATGGTCTTACCTATGTAACAAAAGTGGTTCAGAGGAAAACCCTAAAATGTGACCAATAGCTGATTTATCCTAAGTTAAATGACAATTGCTTCATCTGCACCGGGGCTTTAATGAATTCTTAGTTCACGTGCTACCTTGTCTTCTCTGCTTAAAGATAAAAATTAGAGATACCAAGAGGACTTCCAGCAAGATGCTGCTTCATTTGACACAGCCTTTTCCTGCCCCACTCCTCCACATCTTTCCCCATCTTTTAAATAGGAAAGGACATCAGAGACCTTGGAGTAACAGAGAAAGTTACTCATTGTTGTTCCCAAGGCAATTTATACCAGCCCAGGCAAGGGACAGGAGGAGGATGGACACAGCTGGGGATTAGTTGTCTCTGGGTGCCCTCTAGGGTCAATCCCTTGCTGTCATGCTCTGGCCTTGCCTTCTTTTCAAGACAACTCTTAGTTTTGCTGAATGTAAGGGAATGGGTACGTTTTGCTACGGGGACTGCTTGTCTGAAAAATGTGCTGACTGTGTGATGACCTCATGCCTTCTGGGTTGAATGCATTTTTCGTGTTGGATTTAACAGCAGGCATCTCTCTTCACAGGTTTTGTCACTGTCAGATTTAACACTGTAGCGTCATGTTATCTCTAGATGATGTCAGCCATGTACTGTACCTGCTCATCATGTGCAAACTTTTATCCGTTTCTCTGGCCCACAGCTTTATGAAAATGTCCTTTTTTTTATTTTTGCACTCCTAGGGCCATCAAAAAAATATGGTGCAAGAGGATGTAACTCCATTGCCTTATATAAAATTTTGCTCACGTACAAACTGCTTAGAATTGGCCTCCATCTTAGGACTTAACGATGTATGCACAGTTTGAAATATTTTTTTGAAGCACTCCAGGATATATAGCTTGGAAATGTGTAGATTTATTTCTCAGCTTAAAATATTATGGTTCTACCATCTAAAAGAAGGGCATTTGTATATGTGAGTTGCAGAAAGTATTTTGTGCCTGATGGGCTTGCTATGTAATTGTTTTATTAATTGAAATATGATATTGGTGTTCCTTAAGCTCTGAGGTATTGAGCAAGAACACATTTTTGTTTTCTCCTGAAAGCTGGCAATATGTAAAAAAACTCTTAGAGAAGAAAATGTGATCACTTGTGTGCAAGAACAGCTATCGGAGCCTGTGTGTTCATGTTCTTGGATGTCCAGGAAGGGATGCAAAATACAAAGTCTGTAAGGTAGATTGGTATCGGCGCTGTTTCTGCAGCATCCACCTCATGGAATCGCTGGACATGCTCATTCAGACTAGGCTGAGAAGAAGTACAAAGGGAACGTAATGTGTGCTAATGCAGAACACGGGGGGCTACAGGCAAAGAGTGTGATATCGAGGAGCTTCCAGTGTCATCTCAGGGGAAAGCCACCAGCGTTCACGAGAGGCCTGCTCCCTGTGAGGGTCCTGGGACGTGACGGGATGTCACTAGCAGGATGAGTCAGTGCTCTTTATCCCCTGTGGGTCTGGGATCACCTTTTTCATCATTTCAGAATGGGTTTGCGGTGTCTCACATAGCCACAGTGACTGCCTGGTCGGGTGAAATTTTTTAAATTAGATGTATCAAGTCTCTCTTTTGTTATTTGCTTTGTGCTTTAATTTGAAGTGTATTTGCCAAGTTATTTGTACAGGCAATGGTCAGAGCAGGCTAGTTCAGTGCAGACCTTAGCCTGTGGAGCCATTTTTGCTGCAGCATCAGTGAGCCGCTGTTTCCCAGGCACTAGTCCTGGCCCTCAAGCCCACCCCAGCTCAGGGCCCTCTTATTACCCTTCCATGGCCACTAACTGATGGAAGGGGGAAACGCCTTCCTTTTGGGGTGCACTGGAATTGAATGTAAATGATGTCAAACACATGGGGGGGGGGGCGGGCAATGCTATAAATATCAGGGTTGCAAAGTAATTACAGAAACTGGTTTTGAGGGTGTAGGAAAAAGGGAAGCTTGGAGACTAATAGTAATTTACAGAGAGATCAAGGTAATACCTGGCTGGGCTGTGGGTGAGACAGGGACCCTAAGAACGTGAAGCTGAGATTTTCATTTCACCTCTCAGTGTCTTAACATTTCATACGTTGCTTTCCCATGGACCTAAGCGCCAGGCACCTTAGGGAAGGACTGGGACCTGCTGTGGAGGGCTGGCAGGAAGAGACGATACTGCTACAGGATAGCCCTACTTAAAATGTGGTCTGCACTACAAAGCTGTCTGAGAACAGCTCTCCTGTTGTGAGTGCACAGCACTGTCCTCTGCTAGGTGCTGCGTCAGATCTCTTCAGGCACATCTCGCTGCATGGGATTTCAGCTTGCAATTGCTGAAGGGAAAGCTACTTATGAAGAGAAAAATGTTCCTTTCCTAGTACTCTTCAGTGAAATACAGCATGGAAGCATGACTCTAATATTAGGTATAATTGGAAATTTGCTGCTTCTCTCCTTCCAGAACTGTATCCTCAGAACAGGAACTACACCATCTTGCTAGACTGTAAAGTATTACGCACAATAACAGCATTTAAGTAATAATTGCTGTAGCTGGATAGTTTGTGGGAGGGTGAAAGGAGGCCATCTGATCTGATGTCTTAATGCTATTAATCGCATGTCCCTCGATGAGAGAGGGAGGCCAAGTTTTTGGTAATTGTTTTAGGTCAGTTCTAATCAACAGCTTTCACTATCGTTCTTTAATGAGCATTGTCAAATTGGTGTCCTTGTCACATGAATGTATGCGGAATTCTCTGTGAATGTCACAACAATGCAAAATAAAGCTAAAAAATATTCTGGAAACTAGTATGCTATGGTAAATGTCTATCACGATTTGAAAGCTGGATCTTGGTGTTTGGCAAGGATGGACCCTTCCCAGAGGCTGTGAGGCAGATCAGCTCAGTGGCCGAGCCTGGGAGAGGGCGGGTGGTTGCTCCAGGCTACCCAGCTGGATGCAGCAGATGAGCCAGCTGAAGAGCCTGGGCCTCCACCCAGCCATGCTGGCAGCCAAGTCCGAAAGAAAGCGGAGTCAGTCCTCGCACTTCTCTGCCAGGAAGGATCTTATAGTAGCCCCATCGTGTTTTCCACAGCAGCACAGTGATGCATCCTGATGCTTCTAGCCACCTCCACTGGGCCCACCAGCTGCTGAGACAAGGTGGAAAGCTGGCTGTCTGCATGGTGCAGCTGGTACCTGGTCCAGACTGCCATATCTCCTTGTCTCATTGCTAGTGAGTAGAGCTGAAAGCTAGGCTTGGCCCATTTGAGTCAGCCCTGTAAAGGGGGGAACCTCACTCAAGACTTGTGAATGGAGCAAGCATGTTGCATCCCTGGGGCCCTCTTGAGCCTAAATACGCAGGAGATGTGAGGTGGTAAAACAGGAACAGTTCACACAGAAGAGATAAGACCAAATGATGGGCTGGGCCTGGCCTTCCCTGAGTGTGAAAGGATTGGGAACATCACCAGTGGATCCCCAGGAGGGTGTGCCACCCTGCGTCATATCGCACCTACTTGTGCAGAGAAGACAGACGCTAGGTGACGTGCTCCTTTGGAAGTGCTTCTTGTATCTGTGTGGGGAGATCTGTCACGAAGAAGCTATTGTCAAACCCCTTGGCCCACAAAGGGAGCCCAGAGTATGAAATGGCAGCGCAGGCAGAGCATGTGCGGCTGCTGCTGTGGTTTGCAGCAAGTCCAACCCACCCTACCCCGACACGCTAGGTTTGCTGAGAGCCGTTTACCCCATCTGTCCTGGTTTTGGCTGGGATAGAGTTAATTTTCTCCCTAGTAGCTGGTACAGTGCTGCGTTTGGGATTTAGGATGAGACTAATGTTGATAATACACCGATGTTTTAGTTGTTACTGAGCAGTGCTTACACTAGGCAAGGACTTTTCAGCTTCCCATGCTCTGCCGGGTGCACAAGAAGCTGGGAGGGGGCACAGCCAGGACAGCTGACCCAAACTGGCCAAAGGGATATTCCATACCATATGATGTCATGCTCAGTATATAAATTAGGGGGAGCTGGCTGGGGGGCGGCAACTGCTGCTCGGGAACTGGCTGGGCATCGGTCGGCGGGTGGTGAGCAATTGCATTGTGCATCACTTATTTTGTATATTCTTTTATCATTATTATTATTTTCCCTTTCTTTTTCTGTCCTATTAAATTGTCTTTATCTCAACCCATGAATTTTACTTTTTTTTCCCCCTGATTCTCTCCCCCATCCCACTGGGGGGCAGGGACTGAGCGAACGGCTGTGTGGTGTTTAGCTGCCTGCTGGGTCAAACCACAACACCATCGCAGTT